TAATGGCTAATTTGTTTTCAATGAATCATGGTCGAATGCCCTAATTTCATCTGTGTATTATTCTTCTATGGGGAGAACCCTTTGAAATAATTTTAACAGAATCATTCTATAAAGTATGAATCACAACTTCATTTTGCTTTTCTTCACTATATGTTTGTTAGTATTTTTGCATTTACTGTTAGATGATATACTTTTTTTTTTTTTGCCCTATTTGCTCCTTCTGTTTTGGTGTGGTAAGGATCCAAGGATCGAAAAAAATTGTGACTGAAATGGGAGACCGGGCATATTTATTATGTTTATTTTATAGTTTTTCGTTTTAGGTTTTATATTTTTCCCCAAAATACTACAACTTTCACTTATACTGAAAGGTAGAATACTTCAATTTATTTTGTTGTGCAAAATATTCTCTCTTTTTGTTGTGATCTAGCATAAACACAAAGGAAAGTGAAAATTAATGCTTTTCTTTGTAAGTAGAGATGCTGCACTCTATGCCCTTGTTGTTGGAGCACGTGAAGTCGATGACGTGAAAGATGGAGCTCAAATATGTTTACCATCATGATGGTCAGCAATCCATCCTCGTAAACTACTATAATTTGTTTCATGTAAATGAATGGATCCATTCATGGACAAAACCCAGACTTGTTTGGGTTCATTGAGTTTGGTTCAATCTTGATTCCACACCTGTTTAGATTATGAGTTTGTCACCCCTAACAATAAAATAGGTAACAAATCAGCAGCAAATAAAGACAACCAAGGAAAAAAAACAAAGAAATTGATGTTGGGTAAAAAACCCTAGACCTAGACGATAAATTATCCAAAATTAAGCAAATCAGAAATTGGAGCATACTTGTCTGTGGGAGGAGGCACATAAAGATATTGTCCATCCAAGTTGACAGATCTATAGAATCGTTAATTGTTAATGGGTTGTGCTATGGGTACGTAACACAATACATAAGGGTGTCCGTAATGGACACATAGAGATCCCTTATTGGAGTGGTGCCTGGGCCCGCAAGCACCTCCCCAATAGGGAGCCTCCATGTGTCCATTATGGAACATGCTATGTACATATAGCATTTCCCATTGTTAATTATGTATAAAACACGTGTGGATCTACATATGACAATATTTGTAGTATCACCAGAAAATACTTCGTCCATTATCACCATAATTGACACTGAATAACATAAATATCCACACCATTATAATTCTCATATCGACATAATAAAACCGGATCAACACTTAAGAAGTGTTGAACTTTTTCCATCTCGGTGTTATAGCACATTTGTAAAACTCTTTAATTAGAACCTATGGCAGCGAATAATCGATGGCGTGCATCATAAAATGTGAAGAATGGTTGCCACACTGTGAACTTT